TTATTATTATTATTATTATTATTATAAAAGTAACTAAAACGTAAACATTAGAAACTTATTGTTAGATAAGGTAATATAATGAATAACAATTCTTTATGAAGTATGTTCGCGAGTAGTTTGTAGTTGTATTGTCGTACGTTACGTAATTCGATACGGAAACGTGTTGCACCTTCTCCAAGTGACACTAGTGTTTTTGCTTTTTTTCTTTACAAGCAGCAAAAAACTTGAAGAATCTTTGTTCCTCTTTTTAGCATCCTGGAAGTTTGTCCGTCGAATCCGTAAGGATTGGCAAACCTAGTTATACTACTACAAAGGCTGAGTGATTAGTATTGCTATTAATATTATACTTATAGTAGTAGTAATAGTATAACTGTACAGAACTCTCGACTCTTATTCAGTAGTTATTACGTTCCGTACCTACCTTCAAGTGAAGAACTTAATGTGGTCTGAGACAAATGTTTTGATAAAGAAATACGCATTACATTAGTAAAAATTTCATACTTAAGTATTTTTTCAGTCCTCTTAGGTAAGAGAAAAACTTTACAAATTGGGTACCTCAACACACAAGTGAAAGCTGACATTTTTGCTTACAGAGCCCTCTTACTGTTAAGCTAAAAGCAAAGATGATAAACAGCTACATATATATAAAACGAAACTGAGCAGCTCGTCTAAGGTCTTCAAATTTCAACATTCTTCAGAAATTCATATTTTGAAAAAACGATGGAGAAAGTTCGGATAATTATATATCATATTATAAAGTTTCGCATTTTAGAGATGTAATAACATTTTGTACTTACCCTAATAATCATCTACAAACCTAATCTGTTTATTAGGTTTTAGAAACAACGAAATAAAAATCCTAAAAAATGTAGTTAATGAATGCATTCAGCGTTTGGTAAAGATTCATATGAGCTTATACTATAAATCTATTTAAATATGATAGTACTGTCAGCTGTATGTCCATGTAACAACTTCGCAGGGTATGGATGTATCTTCACCAAGTTTGTTACGGAGGTTCACTGGGTCTATAGGAAGATACATACACATTTTCAGTTTTGGATTTTGCGATTTGCAGTTTTATGCAAATTTTTACTTTTTTACCACACCTTCACTCCCTGTTGATGGATCTTCACCAAATTGGACATGAAGATTTGTTGTGTTCATGGGAATATAATACAAATGTTCAGTTTTGCATACTGCGTTTCGCAGTTTGTATGGGTATTTTTTTACAATTACATATAAGGGAAACAGCTTTTCATGTCCTAAGATAACCTTTCATTAATCATGAATTTACATTTCCGTCCAAGGGACGGGTACGCCAACTAGTAAGTAATATATTGATCAACTGAATAATTATTGAACATCTCCAAAAACATGTTCATGAGAGCAAAACTATTTTTAATGCGAGAAGTTTCAATACCTTGTAAAATAATGAATTAATTCATGCTCAGCTGAGAAGTGCAATGTAAAAGCTCTAATCAGCTCAGATATAAATCACTATCCAAAAAAGCTTTTTGTGGAATGTAGCTTGGTGTAGTCTTAAAGATATACAGACAACTTATTTCTTATTCTAGTATTATTTAAAGCCTACATTTTAACATGGTATTTTCTGTTAAATCAAGATTTCAATGAAGTAGATTGTGTTTTTAGTCTGCTCAAAATTTCATATTTTTTTAGAGTAAAATATATTGTTACGAATGAACGACTCACGTACTCGACTCAGTTGTCAGTCTCTCTCTGTCTGCAGTTCAATTACATTGTTGGCGTCACTTCTTGGCCGTCTTATATACAAGAATACCGTACATCTAGTAAACACGCGAGGCTTCAGGAACCTTCGAGAATATGACGTGTTACTAGCGTCACGTGACCCTCGCTGGCTGTGCCACTGGGGGGTAGAGGATATAAAACAAAATATTTGAATAACTAAAAAATCATAAATTGCTACATCAATACCATAGAAGTCAACTACAATTTATCAAGCTTAATAACTAACATATTGTTACGTCACTGGTCGTTAGTTAATTTTCCGTAAAAGTTCTTTCCGAAGAAATTTTAGCGATACAAGTCCTTTCTTAAATAAAACTGGTTTATTATTTCTGAATACAGCTTTGAAATTCACTTAATTTCCACAGTAACGCTATAGCTTAAACAAACGCTATAATTCACCAAGTGGATCAAGGTGCCAAGACTGGGATCTATGGATCCGATGCCTGAGAATTAGATGTGGGGAGAAACGGGAGTACCCCGAGAAAACCCACTTTCACTAGTCGGGACCAAATAGAAGCCGTTTCCGCAGGTCTTTATCTGCCAGGCTTATATACCAACGAAGGGGGCGCGTTTCGAATACATTCGGGCCTCCCCGATCATTCATGATCATTCGAGAAATTTCACGCACACTACCAGCGCCAAACGCGCTAGCAGCGTCCCGTGACTTTCCTAATTTTTTGTGGTGGTTAGCGAGATTGATCAAATTTACCGAACCCGTACAGAGATTAATTACTGAAAATAGAATATAAAATATAAAGTTCTTATCTTTTCTATTTGTTAAGATATTGCTCACATAATAAATCAAACATAGTGGCGCCACGCTCATCTTCTTCCATATTCAGAAACGCTCCTTTATAAACACTTACTTTTATATGTGATATGAATAACCAATCAGAAGCTCAGAATGTCACCCTAGTGGTTTTCTAAGCCTTTCTAACGTACCTAGTGTCATCTCTTTCTTTTAAAAGCATTTTCAAGACAAGAATGTAATAGAATTATCCCCAATAACAGTATAATTCGACCTGGAAAATTACAAAACTTCTTGTGATTAAAGATATTTGAGTTGATTGTTCGTTTTGTGTGAAAGTGAATAGACTAAACAAATTTTTGATGAAACAAACAAACAGACGTGCACACACACACATACACACACACAAATAATCAAAACACCAACCCAAAGTAATGCAACGGTTAGTCTGAAGTTTTTCTTTTCACAAGATAGATCACCTCAGCACTAATTGCTAAATAAACTATAAAAGGTATTTTCTGTTTCTGCAAAAACTGGGAGCGAACTGATACAAAAAAGTTCAAGATACTTACTGAAGCAACTAGAAATTGTTCGAGGAAATTTTACAATTGCTTCAGGATTTTATTAGTAAAAATGCATAAAACAGAATTTAAAAGTTTTAACAGTTCTTTAAGTCTAAGTAAGTAACCAAGGGTATATAAAAAAGTGGTGACAAGAAGACGCTTGTGTTGTGAAATAAGCTTGAGAACTCGGAAACAAGGTCAGAAGCCTAGTTACGTAAGAAACGTTGCCTAGAAACAAGATGAGTGCATAGTACCTGTGACAGGTTGATGGATTTCTGATCTCAACCCTTTAGAACTAGGAAAGCTACGAAAAAATTTGGTTTAGTGAGTAATATCGGCACTTTGAGGCGATATCAGTTACAGAACATGGGTGTAGCAGTACAAGTGAATAGGTGACCGGTGAACACAACCTAACTCTAACCAATTACTTGTATAACAATTACTTCTTCAATATAAGGCCCGGCATGGCCAGGTGGATAAGGCACTCGACTCGCAATCTGAGGGTCGTGGGTTCGAATCCCCGTCCCACCAAACATGCTCGCCCTTTCAGCCGTGGGGGCGTTATAATGTGACGGTCAATCCCACTATTCGTTGGTAAAAGAGTAGCCCAAGAGTTGGCGGTGGGTGGTGATGACTAGCTGCCTTCCCTCTAGTCTTACACTGCTAAATTAGGGACAGCTAGCGCAGATAGCCCTCGTGTAGCTTTGCGCGAAATTCAAAAACGATCTTCAATATAAACATAATTTAAGGGAAAATAATCTCTCCCTTAAAGAATTTAGTAAACTTGTTAAAATCTTCATCACGTTTGTCCATAAAATTACTAGTACCAATCTCCATTCTCTTCTAATTAGCTTCTAAAACATTTTTAAAAATAATGTTCATTCGGGTGTGTTTCTTTGTTATTTTAGAACAAAGCCATATTGGACTATTTGTTGTGTCCACTGCGAGGAATCGAACCCCGGATTGTAATGTTGTAAGTCAGCAAACTTAATGCTGTCCTACCGTGAGAGTACTTTGAGTCTTTTTGCAATTAATTTAAGCATAAGCACCTAAAGTCCTCGAGTCAACTTTAATATTGTTGCGCCAGCAAAGTCACATGACTGGTATGACGCCACGTTACTGGAACTATTCTGTACCTTGGCGAATGCTCTAGCATTTGCTAGATTTAGGGTAGTATGGTATATAAAAGAGAGTGACAACGTGACGGGATAATAATGTGTGTGTGTAGATAGTGAGTAATTGAACTGCAGTCGGAAGTATTGTTGACGTTCGTTGATATAGCGTTTGTTTTAGCGCGATTGTTGAAAATAAGTGTATTGTAAAGTTATATTCGGAAAGAATAAACCAGTTTTATTAAGTAAGGACTTGTGTCGCTAAAGTTTCGTCGGAACGAATTTACGGAAAATCAATTAACAAACGGAGACGTAACAAATTGGTGTCAGAGAGTGGGATAGAAAAAAAAAGAGAAGAAGATGGTTACGAGAGGCGGAAAATCAAACTACAGCTTAGCAGATTTGATGGCAGCAATACAAGAACAAGAAAAGAAACAAGAAGAACGAGAAGAGAAATTACAACAGTTGTTAGAGGAAAAAGAAAAGAAACAAGAAGAACGAGAAAATAAACAAGAAAAGAAACAAGAAGAACGAGAAGAGAAATTACAACAGATGTTAGAGGAAAAAGACAAGAAACAAGAAGAGAGACAACAGCAGTTGCAAGAAAACCTGCAACAATGGCAGCTCGAACAGCAAAATAAACAAGAGAAATTACAGCAGTTGTTGGAGGAAAAAGAAAAGAAACAAGAAGAGAGACTACAGCAGTGGCAACTGGAACAAGAAAGCAAACAAGAAGTACAAATGGAAAAAAATTAGTAAATTTAAAAGCGAATTAGATACATTAAGAGACGATTTATTGTCTGTTACACAAGGAGGATACATTGACCATCGACTTAATCAGCCCCAGACAATGGCAAGCTAAACCCTCATGCAGACATATTCAGTCCCGTTAGAAGTCACATCCCAGATATAAATGTCAGTAATAGGAGTGATTCAGTGCGAAGGAAGCCACAAGAATATGATGGGAAAGCACCGTGGGAAGCATATAGAGCA